AAATTTCATAAGATTAAACAATGAAATCGACAGATGAAGGTGGTTTGCACGGTTTACACAAATGAAGACGGTTTTCATATGATCACTCATCTATATATATATATATATATATATATATATCTCATCATATTATACATTCCTAATTATTCATAGAGTTGTCAACATGTAAACAAGCATAAAAATTTTAGCATAAAAAGCTTGCCTTTGTAATGTACATCTTTGATAACATGAATCTTGATCACCAAAGGGCCTTTGGCCTAGCGGTATCGTAGCCCTTGGCCTTCTAGAAGGTCAGGGGTTCAAACCTCACCATAGGTGAGGAGGGTGTGTAAGTTTATTTGTTGCATTTTCCGTATATAAATATTATATACTTCAAAAAAAATCTTGATCATAACAATTATACATAACAAATATACATAACGTGTACTAACCATGGTAGGTCAGCTATATATATTGCTAATAGTGTACCATGCCAAGCTCGAAGGTATAGTACCCCATTTGTACTTGTATTGACAACTTGCATGCATAATTTGCCATAGACATATATATAATTAAACATGTATTTCCATGCATAACATCTTTTATGAAACATGTATACGTTAGTATGTTTAAACTTTCAAAATATAAACACATAGCATATTCATTAAAGCATCATAATCATGCTTGAAAACAATGCAATCTTGTATTCCTGGTTATAAATCTCATGAAAACTGATATTTAGTTGCGCTACGTAGGTTTAGCTGAACCTATGCGATGCAACCTACAAAAGTCATACAAGCATCTCATGACTTATACGTGTCACTAGATACATATATGGAGCTAACTAAACATCTACCATTTGTACATGATGTAGGTGACCTAAAACTTGTCGAAGAACTCATACGTATGTGTCATTCTGGATTTCGCACAATCATGCTAAAACCTTTATACAAACTCAGATGATTGTCCCAACCATTCATAGAACTCACACAGGTTGACCTAGGATCACACAATCCTGCCAATCTTGCACTGCCAGGTAGACTTGCAGAGTGCACAAAGCCTTAATTTGGCTTTATTTTGACATATTATGCCTATCCATTTACGCCCACAATCTTCATTTCTAATCCGTTTTCACTTATTATTATTTTTTTTGCCTAAGAATCTTATTAACATATACTAGAATGTCATGACATACTAACACATAAATTATGCTAATCCTCATATACCAATATGGGTTTACACACTAGCGTCATCAGCAACACTGAAATTGTCACTTTATTTAAATTGATGGCTTTAGCCTTTAAGGCCTCTCATTCCATGCCAATTTCATACTAATCATTTCTAAAACATAGATAACTACCATACATGATTGGGTCAAATTTGTCGTTGAACTCTTTAATGCTTTTGAAATCTTTTTTACTTCATTTTGTGGCCCAAAATTGAACTTTTCTATCAAACCCTCTCTAGGTTCTCTTTACATACAATAGAACATGGAAAATGATGAATAACCTCTCCTCGCAACCTCCTCCAACCATTGTCACTCAACATGTGTTTTTTTTACTACGCTGCATTTTGAACGTGGTTGTCAATCCCCATATAGACTTTTACTTTCATTAACTGGTGTGTCGTGCATGTCCATGTACTTAATTTTTTATTTGAAGTTTGCGCTTTGCAACAGTATATAGTAAGTTCATTACAAAAACAATCCCGAACAATGTTGGCTCTTATTAAAATATAATATATTCATGAAATATCATATTCGATTTGATGAAACTTTTGCCTCTCTCTGTCTCTCTCTCTCTCACCTGCAGATGTATAAATACATACATGCATGAATCAAAGATGCAAACAGAGCCGATCCAATGGTTTTGGATGCCTTGGGCAGAGTGCCAAAAAGATGCCCCTATTCGGCTACTCCAATGAACTAAGAACTCAAGAAGACACAAATTTTCAAGAGTTTGGAACCTAGTCAAGCTAGGCGGCTCATCCCTACGGTGGTTATTATTGGAAAAAAAAACTTACAACACGGGAACATAAACCAAAACCAAGTATCATACTAAGATTATTATTGATAGCATAAAACATTAAAACATATTACAACTCACTAACAAAGCAATTCAAGAAGATGTAAGATCATTATTTCAAGAAGAATCCATATTCACAATGACTAAAGGATCAAAAACAAGTAAACAATTATTAAGGACAGTGAAAAATTGAACACGTATCTAAAATCTTTTAGATGCTTTCATATATCTAATATCTTAGATTCGTCTTTAATTCCAGGACAGTGAACATGTATCTTACAATTTTTTCTGTATGATGATAACTTGAAGGCTATGAACCCAATCGTTGATGATTGTGAAATGTTGGGAGCTGGAATCAGAATATGATTATATGTTGATCCATGAATGGAAACTTGTGATGTGGTTATAACTCAAAATTCACCAACTCTACTATAAATTACAGGCAGTGGCTGACATTGTTCATACTACATTGGGCCCAAGATCTATGTTAAAGATGATTTTTGATGTTGTAGGAGGTACTTATGTTTGTATGTTATTTCTATTAGTTTAAATGATGAACATATGTCTCTTCTCTAATGCCAGGGTGCTTGTTATGAAACTAAAATGAACTGCAGATAAATGAGAATACAGTGCAACTGTTTGTAAGGTTGTGATACTATGCCCAACATAATACCTAGTGACTAAAATGTTTAGTAGCTTTCTTATTCTCTTTGTTTAAATAATCGAATTTGTAGATAGTGAGCATTTCATGAGACAAGTTTCTTTGCTTGTAATCTGTAATGGGGTTTCTGCTATTAGCCTATTACTTTGCAAAAGACAACCATAAATATTTCAAAGCTCCAAGGCCCAAACGAAGTTTGAAGTACCTGAGAAGGAAAGTCGATTAGGTAAGAGGAAGATGGAGCGTCAGAGCAGGAGTCGGGAGGGAAGAGGAAGACGAGGACAGACTGGAGT